AATCAGGCCCGAACATGGCAGCCGGATTCTTAATTTAAGGCCCCCATTCAGGCTACCTTATATGGTCCTGATTAGTGATGTAACGCGTCGGTACCTCAGGGCTAGATAAGATTTGCCAGGTAAGGACCTGATAAGGGTTGCCATTTAAGGGCCTGACATATTCTGCAATTCGAATTCGGGACCTGAATAAGGGATGTCTTATCAGATGTACTTTACTTGTGTCTGATGTGGACCTAAATGCGGTAATACCGTATAATCCATGTAGGAAAGTACAGCAAGGCCTAATATTGGACCAGCATCGTGACCATTTTCGCAGTAAACCACAGAGTCCTCTCAACGGACGGTATGAACTTAAAAAATATTTAAAAAATACTTTTCTCACGAATAAGAGATGTTGAATACAATACCACGTTGTTCAAAATAATGTTGAAAACGCATTGAAGCAACAGCAACATCGAAGGACTAATTATTCTCAAGGTCTTCCGATTCTGCTTGCGAGTTGCAGTGGCCATCTGGTGGTGCGGCAGCGAATTAGTGCTCGCTCGTGCTTCTCGTATACTTTTGTGTTGCTTAAGGACTCTGGTCATATATGTAATTTTACTCTTACTAAATTTTACTCTTACTATTTGGCCAATTATTGCCAGTAGGACATTGGCCAGTATCGGTTTAAAACTGGCAAATATAAACAATAAATAACGCTGGTACATACCTTATCAGGCGTACCGTATTCAGGTCCACATAGGGCACAAATAAGAAACACCGGATAGGTTGTGCCTTACTCACGGCCACATGGGGCATTGTTAAGGCACACCTGATAAGGTGTAATTTACTCAGGTTTAGATTAGGCATATCAAAGGTGCACCTAATAGGGTGTATGTACATACTTTACGTATACTGGATCTGGACCTGATAAGGTCTAACTCATCAAGTCTGCCTTACTTTCGCCGGATCCGGACCATATGTGACGGCAGGGTTGCCCTATCAGATTTCTAGTCGGGATAGGCTGCAAGTGCTTAGCGACACGAAAGTTCTAGATTACCAGCGGGGAATCTACGAATTTTATATATTAGGTGACCTGACAGGAGCTCAAGTACCGTTAGTGTTACAACGTTCGAATCTGTAAATATTGTGAGGCCGATGAGTCGAGCACTAGGCCACTCGTCAGCTGATTGTGTAAATATTACTGTTTCTACTCGTTGCGCGTGCATCACGTAACGCGCGTATTATTGCCGGAAACGTCCGGCCTTCTAGGAAATAAGTCCACGTTTATCCTCAAGGACTTTGAGCGTCTAATCCTGTTCAGTTTTAATAGTCGTGTTGCGTAAGGAATCGTTATTCCTTGTTATCTGAATTGTACGGGACCGTTGGTAACTACTTAATTAATTATTTTACTAAAAATTCAAAATATCATAAAATGAAAACTTCTCGATGGATTCGGTCCAAATGCAATACCAACCAACCTTGGATACAAATCTCTTCATCAAGAACTATTAAGACAAGTATCACAAAATTTGCGATCGTGCGCTCGCACACACACATCCGGACATTTTTTCCAAATGTGTTTTCTCGACGTTCTGGCACATTCTAAACATAGTGTCATGAAGATCTCGAAAAAAAATTATCCACCGTCACATAGCTTCCTCTATGAGAAAGCAAAAACATAAATCGTACTAATTGTACATTGTAATAATTATTTTTCGATAAATCTTATAAATTATTAAAACCACTTAACTTGATAAATCATATTATAAAAGTTTTACATGTAAATGTCAACTGTATGATTTTTTTGTAACGACAATTATAAAAAATTATGCTTTTGGTACATAAAATTATGATTGAAGTCCATAACAATGATAATGTTGGCTTATGTTAATATAGATATTAACACAATTATAAGTCATCATTTTGATTAACATTTGTCATAATTTGTATGTACCAAATACATATCTTTTTAAAACTTGCCATATTTTGCTGCTTGAGAATACAAGATAACTAAGGTTATCTTTTTCACAACTAAATAGAGTATTTTATGACATCTGATTAGCTTCTTTCAGATGTTCTGTTACGGATATCTATTGGTACATGTTTTGTAACCTCGCGGATAGTTACCCATTCGGGAGCTTAATAAACGCCATTTATTTTGTTATCTTTTCCCGGACATCTATCTATTCGGATTTCGCGAAAATCCATATAATATATCTCTTTTCGATACGCCCAAAAGATGTCTTTTGAGGGGAAATTTACACATTCTATTTAAGTATGTTCATTTTTTAATTTGTCAAATTAAAAAAAAATGTATTTATTATTTACCCTTACGGATGTCTTTTAAGATATTCATTGATTTTTTTCAGACATCTAAAAGTACCGTTCAAACAATTCGCTATTTTCACATTACGTAAAATTTTAGTTGCCTTTTCGGCCCCAGATTCTATGGCATAACAACTTACCCTCTTCCAAGCATAAATGTATGCTACATCCATAAGCGTCCAGTTTTCAGGTAATGGTGCTCTTCTATGACATATTTCAATTGTGTTGTGAGTCATATCCACACTGTACTTCAATGCAAGGAACTTCTTGAGATGAGCGATTGTTACGAGAGCTGGACATTGAAGATATCGCCGTGTACTTAGGGAAGTTACATTTTGTACTTGATCGATATCAGTTTGATTGCACAAAATATTCAATGGATCTGTCCCAGGCGGCAGATATTCCAAACTCAGACTAACAGCATCCTCCGGAGCGAATATTAATCTTCCACTCACATCCTCGCCACGCTGCTCCGAACTGGTTGAGTCAGCTGTCAAGAAGTAGAAAATGCATCATTATGTATTAAGGTGGAAACAAAATGTTTTATGGGGCCGATTCGAGCCGATTCTCGTCTTGATGTAGCTTGACTCGAATCGATCGGCCTCGCCTCGACTTAACCCTCTCCGTTTTAATATTTCTTTAGGCGCCCTCGATTTTTTTAAATGCCATACATATTGTAATTTCCTAAACTCATAGCCACTCAATTTCCCATAAAGGGGCTATATAAAAGATTATTTCACAACGACCTATAAAGCAATCGCACAATATTTGTACATCTGTTCCACTGAAATGTAAGTCAGGATATTTCTAAACTTCCATTAGTAAAGTTAGAAGCTTTCAAACTACATAGGAATATGTATACATATGTATAAATATATATGATAATGTATATTTTAATTCCTTAAATTTTGATACACAGGGTGTTCGTTATGAAACCCACTATAGTAACATTGTTGCATTCCTTGTCAAATTCTAAAAAATACGTGTATTTTCATTTTTTATTTCATATACCAAAATTATGAGATAATCAAGGTTGAAATTGCAGTAATGCGACCAATCAGAACGCGTTTAAACGGAGCGTAGATGAGGTCGCGAGCAAGCCCGCAAGACCTGCTTGCACTAGGCCAATAACACTAAGAGTATCGTCGTTGTGTCCCTGTTTATCTGCATGTAATTGAGTAAGATACAACAGACGACACTCTTAGTGTTATCGGCCTTGTGTAAGCAGGCCTTGTGGGCTGACTCGCGACGTCATCTACGCTCCGTTTAAACGCGCTCTGATTGGTCGCATTACTGCAACTTCAACCTTGATTATTTCGAAATTTTGATACATGAAACAAAAAATCAAAATACACGTATTCCTTAGAGTTTGACAAGGAATGCATCGGTGTTACTACAGTGCGTTTCATAACGAACACCCTGTATACTTTGTTATTAAAAAATGTACAGCCTAAAACCAATATTCGAAACAATCCAGTTGTTTGCTGTTTATACCCAGATAGACTTGTATGAATGTCACAACGTTCAGCAAGGTTGTGTGTCTTATGAAAGCTCACCTGACAATGATATTTGCTTATTTAAATTATGGCATCAATATACAACAACCGCCAATCTTGATTCCATGTAGTGCTTCGTTCACCGTGCCAAAAAAAGATAAATGTTATCTCATTTATTCTCTACCAAAATGTACGGTTGGTATAGTTTACCTTATAGCATGTTAAGAAAGAATTTTTATTGATACCTAACATTTTCTTCATATTTGCATCATGCCATGATCTTTTATTAGAAATACAATAAATCTCTTTCAAAATTATAAGCTCTCAAAATCAAAGTTGCTAATCATCCACCGCGTTGCGATTCATTCCAATTCACGAAATGATCAAGAATATTAATTAAAAAACCATATAAATAAAAACTTTATAGGAAAAATAGAATTATATAGCATTGAATTATTTATCTTTAAAGTAAAAAGCGGTCTTGTCGACATGAAGTTTTCAAAACACTCAGGTTGTTTTTCTTATCGTTCTACAGTACTACCTTATATAAGTATGTACTATATGCATTTTTAATTAACGATCATGGCATGATGTAAATATCAAGAAAATGTGACACCAACAAAAATTCTTATTCGTCATGCTATGAGGTAAACTTAAACCATACCTACCATATATTTTGGTAGAGCATGAATGAAAAAAATATTTATCTCTTTTTTGGCACGATTAACGATACATCACATGTAATCAGGATTGGCGATTGTTGTCGCATCTTCATACCATCGTTTAATTAAGCAAATATCACTATCAGGTGAGCACTCATACGACACACAACCTTACCAACTTCCAGTCATCTAACACGCAACATACAAGTAGCTTAAGTTATGTAACAGACTATATTAATATGAAGAGACAAGAGAACAAAAAAAATATGGAATAACGAAAAGAAAAAAAAACCTAAGGGGAAAGAACATATTCATAGATGACAATCCGCCTAAACGAGAGAGAGGTTCGCAGAAAAATCTGAGAAATAACAAGAGAAAAAAGAGGACAGAGAACAGAAACAAGAATAGGATACAAGAAATTGAAAAAGGATAAATCTGAAAAAAATGGAATGAAAAAAAAGACAGTAAAAGAAGAGCGACAGAAAGTAAAGCAAAGGGCCTAGATGGTAAAGAGAAGGCAAAAATAGAACGAAATCAGAAGAACATAATGAATCAGAAATGGAAAATAAAGATCGCAATGTGGAAGGACAGGAGGAGGACGGTAGGCAAAAATCTAAAAATGATACGAAATTAGTTATAGAAAAAAGCGTAAGCACAAAAAAGCAGAGAGAAACAATGATAATTACGCAATTACTAATAATAATAATAAAAGTATAAATTACTTTTTGAAATATGGCTGGAGTAACAATTAAGGACACAGAATTTTGAAAATACACTAAAAACTCTCACAAGGGAAGTATCCGAGGTGTCCCCCACCCCTGATTTTGATGAAACTTGATAGGTAAATAGAGTGCTTCAAGACATGAAAAGTGCGCACAAACTTAGCGGCCCATATTCGGTTCTAGGGGATAAATCACCCCTACATAGGTACGAGGCAATTTTCCCATTAGATCGATTACCGCAGACAGTATGCGAAATAAAATAAAAATGTTTTCTACAAAAGTTTCTTACTTACTTAGAACTTACTTTCAGATGACGTTATCAAAAATTTGTTAACATTTTTTTTTAAGTTGACAATAATCCCCACCATGCTTATTTTCGGGAATTCGAGTTTCTTTGTAAGAACTCGAAATGTACAGCATCTCATTCTGATTCAAATATAGGACATGATAAACTATCTTTTTACATTGGTTTTTCCTTAAAGTAGTGGGTAGCAGATATGAAAATGATAGGAAATAAATTTTCACGCAACACGTGATATAATTTACTCATTTTGATACAATATTTAATATATTTATTTCACAATATGCAAATATCACCTTGGCATAAATTTGACACCATGTAACCAAACGGAATTCACGAAATATAACAACAGTATATGTATCAACATGAGACGAACAAAAGTAACAAAGGTAGTGTAACAGATCCCCTACTACTTTCAGGAAAAGCCAATGTAAAAAGAATTTATTATACATATTTCGATTTGGAATGCGATTCTACACATTTCAAGTCCTTACAAAGATACTCGAATTCCAGAAAATAAGCATCGTAGGGGTAATTATCACATTAAAAAAACTGTTAACAAATTTTTGATATCTTCGCTAATTCTGTGTGCACAAGTTTCATCAAATTCGGGGGGGGGGGG